TAATGTGTATGGCTTATGTTTGTTTTCTACCACATACAGACAGTTCTTCAGATGAGTCTGTATCTGTTGCTGAAAGAGTCAAAATGGTGAGATGTGCATGTATTGATCAATTGTAAATTATTATTTTATGTGTATTATCCTACTTTGGAGAGTTGAGTTTAGCCAAAGTCCCTTTAAGGCAACATCAAATTCAGCAAAACTGAAATCTGACAACAACTGTATCATAAATGTTGTTTATTTTGCTCAAATAGCGTTAAAAAAAGCGTATTTTTCAGGCTAGACAAGCCAGTGCACTTATGAATGTCTCAGAATGCTTAGTGTTTCTATAGCAACTGGGACTTCTAACGGCAAGCTGCAGTGCCGCCCTGACTTTACTAATTAGGGATTGGCTCTTTTGCTCAGAAGGCGGGGCTTCGTTCAATAGAGTGGCCATATTGAGTGTTGCATTTTTCCACATTCAAAACGTCTTGGTTACGTACATAACCCTCATTCCCTGATGGAGGGAATGGAGACGTTATATCTTGTTGACATTAGGGGTTTACTCGGGAGCCCCATCAACTCTGATTTTAAGGGGAAACACTAATGAAATTTGGCTAGTGGATTTTGCATGCCAAGCCACTGCCCGTGCATACGGGCATAAAGAGGCGACAGGTGCAACCACTCATTCAGGTTTTACGCTGAGGAACCGAGAACATGTCCCTGGCAACCAGCGATGGTTCGAGGTTGTGGCATGGGGACATAACGTCTCCGTTCCCTCCATCAGGGAACGAGGGTTACGTACGTAACCGAGACTTTCCCTATCTGTCGGTCACTACAAGTTATGTTGTGTCGACATTAGGGGTCCATGGAAAGCACCACAATCCAAACACTGGCCCTGTGGCGCCACAAATGTTGACGAGCAGCCGCATGTCAGACAAATGCTACGCAAAGGTCTTAACCTTCCCAATGCCCCAGCGCAAATTCACTGACCTTGGTGCCCGTGGGGACCAAAAGGTGAGTACATCGCTGCTGGAGATAGCCATGCTGCTGTTATGTCCACAAAAAAATTCTTAACAGAAGGGATTTCAACCTTCAGTGAAAGATTTGCATCAGATCTTTCCTATTTGTTGTTATCAGCTTAGGCAACAACGATGGGGAAGCGAGACTTCCAAGGGAAGGACTCTATGGAGGCCACATCCTACCCTAAGGGAGGTATCATGTGGAGATACTAATATGGACTGACCCAGGCCTAGGGCAGTACTACAAATGGAATGGTACTCTGAGGCAGGTCCTTGCTGGAAGTAGGGAGGAACAACTGCCAGCAGAGACTGACAGAATGGTCTGTCAAAGGAAGACATGGGTTGACCGAGAGGGAAACCTTACCGTGGAAGAATACACATATGGGATCGCCCAAATGGAATCAAGCCATATGGACACGTAGCCCAGTACAGGGGCTGACCGGAGACCAGGGCAAGCTAACACCGATACTGGGCCTGGCGTCAGGCTGCTCCGCCCAGTCTGTCTGCCGGGGGTGCTGGAGGATAGTCAACCAGGGTTCGCCATCCGGGGAACTCTACTGGAGGAAAAAGGCGCTCGCATCCTCGGGTGAGGGGGAATGGTGCAGCAAGCGTGAAACCGGCCGGTCCTTCCCGCCAATGACCTATTATCCAACATACAGGAAGAAACTGGCTCGACACGGAGACTGTAGAATCTCGCAAAGGTGTTTGTTGTCGCCCGGCCCGCAGCTCTACAGATGTCTGCCAGAGAGACATCTGTAGAGCATAGAAGGAGGCAACAATCTGTGTGGATTGAGCCCTTATCCCCAGGGGGAACGGCTCGCTTTGGGATTGGTACGTCAAGGCGATGACATCCACTATCCAGTGGGCCAACCTCTGCTTGAAGACAGCCTTCACTTTCTGCTGTCCTCCGTAGTAGAGCAAGAGCTGCTCAGAGCTTCTGAAACTCTGGGTGTGGTCCACATATATGCGCAACACCCTTATGGGACACAGCAATGCTAAGGCTGGGTCTACCTCCTCCGAGGGCAGTGCTTGCAGGTTCACCATGGCGTGGTGGGAACCTTGGGCACGTATCCAGGCTGGAGCCTCAGGACAACGTGAGAGTAGACTGGCCTGAACACAAGGCACTCTTCGCTCAGGAATTTAAATTTGACTGAATCCAGCAGCTCAAAGGGATCCCTCTGAAGGCCAGCCAGGATGTTAGAGAGATCCCTGGAGGGCACCAGGGATGACTAAGACGATTTAACCTTCTAGCACCCCTCAGGAGTCTAACGAACAGGTCATGCTTACCCAGGACCGGCCGTCCATTGCATCGTGATGTGCTGCAGTAGCAGCAAAATACACTTTCAAGGTGTAGGGTGACACTCTAACCTCTCTTGCAGGAAAGAAAACACGACTCCAATGTGCATCTCCAGGGGTCTTCTCGGTGAGAACAACACCAGTTCGCGAACAGACTCTACTTCAATGAAAAAGCTTGCCTCGTAGAGAGGGCTCTGGCCTGAGTGAAAGTGTCTTCCACCGCCGGTGGCAGATCACTTAGGTTTGCCGCATCCCAAGATCCAGACGCAGGTGCCATAGGGTGCCGAGCCCCTGAGAAAGGAGATCCTTCCTCAGAGGGATGTGCCAGAGAGGGGCTGTCGCGAGAAACATGAGTTCCCAAAAACCAGGTCCGAGTGGGCCAGTAAGGTGCAACCAGGAAGACCTGTTCCTCATCCTTCCTGACCTTGCACAGTGTCTATGCAAGAAGGCTCACTGGGGGAAATGCATACTTGCGTAGAGCCCGGGCCAGCTGTGTGCCAATGCATCCGTGCCAAGGAGGGCCTGGGTCAGGGAATAGTATAGAAGGCAGTGGGAGGACTCGTGAGAAGCAAACAGTTCCCCTCGAGCTTCCCCAAATCGACTCCAGATCAGCTGGACCGCTTAGGAATTAACCCTCTTAGCGCCAAAGTCGCAAAATTGCGACAAGACGTCATACTTAATCAAATAGACTGTAGTTCCTAATATGGTGTAATATCTCATTTGTATTCCCTACCACTAGATGGCAGACATGTAGTACTTCGATTCTAGACCAAAATTACGTCACCTTCCTATTCAAAGTGTTTGAGGAAAGAGCAAAGCAAGTGAGCTATCGTGTCATTGATGCGGAAGCAGTTCAGATCTATAGCGTGCGGGTAAGCTGTGAGATTTGTGAGAGAAACTCGCCAAGCCCTTTCAAACCACAAGCTTTTTAAATCTTGATGTCAAAATCCAGCATTTTTCCAAAAAAAACATGGCGCCTAAAGGGTTAAGTCATCCATTGTCCAGGGAAAGTAAGCTGTTGTGAGAGCACGTCGGCCACACGGAATGTGGACGGCATGCAGCGACTCGAGCCATGTCTGACTCCAGAGGAGGAGATGGCGGGCGTGTTGTGACATGCGACGTGATTGTAGAGATCCCGGCCGGTTCATATACGAAACAGTCGCAGTGTTGTCCGTGCGGACCAACACGTGCTTGCCAAGCAGCAGTGGCAGGAACTGTCGCAATGCTAGTAGCACTGCCAGCAACTCGAGGCAGTTGATGTGCCAAAGCAGTCGAGGCCCTGTCCAGAACCCCGAGGCTGCCTGGCCGCTGCATGTAGCACCCCAGCCCGCACTGGAGACATCTGTCATGACAACGACATGCCGAGACACTTGTTCTAAGGGCACTCCGGCCTGTAGAAAGATAAGGTCTGGCCAGGGGCTGAAGGAGCGGCGACACGTCGGTGTGATGGTCACGCGAACTGTACCGTGGCGCCATGCCCATCTCAGGACTCGGGAGTTTAACCAGTGCTGAAGTGGTCTCATATGAAGCAATCTGAGCAGCACGACTGCGGATGCCATATGCCGCAGGAGCCTCTGAAAGTATTTCAGTGGTACCACCGCCCTGCCTCTGAGGGAACTCGGGCAGGGAACTCATACTCACCGAGTCTAACTCCATACCAAGAATGAGATTCAGTGCACAGAGGAGAGCTTGCTCTTTTCCCAGTTGACCCGAAGCCCCAAATGGCTGAGGCGCCGGAGCGCCAGGTCCCTGTGATCGCACAACTGTTGTCGCGAGCGGGCAATGCTCGAGATATTTGAGGATCCTGATGCCCACTTCCCATAACGGGGTAAGAAACCGTAACCGTAACCGAAACCGAAACCATTCAAACCGTAAGACTGGCCCGCGCCAAGGAAAAATTTAGACATGAAAGTAAGTGTCCTTCAGGGCTCACAGTTCCAGGATTGGCCAAAGGCCACCGCCTTTCTTGGGTACGATGAAGCAAGGGTTGTAAACCCCTGCCTCATCTCGGCTGGAGGGACGGCAATCTCCTTGCGCAGGACAGGTGCATAACAGACTGCCACCGAAGTCTTGAGAGTACTGCTGAACCAAGTCGAACTGCCTGAATGAGCCAGCGGGACGGGTTGGGCAGCGCAAGCCACGCTTCCAAACTCTGTGCGAGTGGCACCAAAGGGTGCAGCGGTGGGAAGTCGTGCTGGATGGCACAGAAGGCATCGCATCCTGGCTCATCACAGCAAGACTCCCCATGTCCCTGAAAATTTTATAATTACATAGTACAAATCATATTAACATATTATCATGCTGAAATGTTTTAAAATCACTACCATAATATTTTACCATAGGTGACACAGACAGAGTCCCGTAAAAGATTGTTTTCCAAGACTCTGAAAAAACCTGTGTGTGGAATTGAAGAGGAAACAATCCAGCTGGGTGAGTTTGAATGAACATTTGCATTTCAGATTTATTAGTTAGTGATCTACCATTAGTTATCTCTGTCTCAACATCACATCATCTACTGTTTATTACCTGTTCTTTAGTTCTCTGATCTCCACTATACTTGCTTAAGGATGTTTTGCACATATTAAGCCAGGTTGCTGAGTCTAGATTGCCAAAGAGCTTTTTCTCTCATTGTTAGTGTTTCTGTTTTTTATGTGGTCATCTACATTGACCCTAAAATGTTTATGGTTCATGTTTTTTTTTCTACCACATACAGACAGTTCTTCAGATGAGTCTGTAGCTGTTGCTGAAAGAGTCAAAAAGGTGAGATGTGCATGTAGTGATCAATTGTAAATTATTGCACAAGGATTGGAATTGAGAACCGCTGAATTAACCCAAATAACTAACTTTATGTTTAACCTTCTCCCTCAGTTACTGAAATGTACCTAATTACTGTGCCCACATATCCTCCATTAATACATGAACCATTGCTTTAATCTTATCCTTTCTTTTTGGCACAGAACAGGAGAGAATCTGTAAATAAAAATCTCAGTAAATGGATCACAGAACCTGAAGAATCTACTGCCAATGCTAGAGGTTAGTGAGCTCTTTTATTTTCTATATATTATGTTATTTCTCTTATTTTGACCTTTATGATTTTTTAAATTCCATATTTTTATGAGACTGTGAAGACCCATGGTTTCTTTCACATCTCTTGTTTTTGCTTCTCATTAGAATAAGAATATTTATAGTTGAACAGTAACCATCGGCCTTTGAAAACTCTTACCAGTCTCTGATCCCCAAGATACTTGCTTGAGGATGTTTTGCACATATTAAACCAGGCTGCTGTGTCTAGATTAACAAAGAGCCTTTTCTCTTATTGTTAGTGTTTCTGTTTTTTATGTGGTCATCTACATTGACCCTAAAAATGTTTATGGTTTATGGTTGTTTTCTACCACATACAGACAGTTCTTCAGATGAGTTTGTATCTGTTGCTGAAAGAGTCAAAATGGTGAGATGTGCATGTATTGATCAATTGTAAATTATTATTGTATGTGTATTATCCTATTTTGTAGAGTTGAGTTTAGCATGTGCATGATTATGTATAACCATAAATGGAAATATATACATTATTATTATTATTATTATTAATGACAGGATGTCATAACAGCAGTAGACTCTGCTTACTATTCTATAGTTTAAAATAAGAATAAATAATAATAATCATTCTATTAAATAATAATGTGTAAGTAACAGCTTGACACTGGAAGAATGCTGCTCACATTCTGAGGGAGTTATTAAAAATAACTAAATATGTACAGTACAATTACCAAATAACTAACTTTATATTTCACCTTCTCCCTCAGTTACTGAAATGTACCCATTTACTGTACCCACATATTCTCCATTAACAAATGAATCATTGCTTTAATCTTATCCTTTTTTGGCACAGAACAGGAGAGAATCTGTAATTTTAGCTGAAACTCTGCCTAAAAAGATCACAGAACCGGTAGAATCTACTGCCAGTGCTAGAGGTTAGTGAGCTATTTTATTTTCTATATATTATGATATTTCTGTTATTTTGAACTTTATGATTTTTAAAATTCCATATTTTTATTAAACTGTGAAGACCTTTGGTTACTTTCTGTAACAAGGAGCATGACAGCGGGGCTGAGGATACACTTGCAGGCTTTATCATATTTTTGGTTGTACAGGCAGATTCAGTAATCAGCAATCACAACAACATCCAAGGCGAGACAAAAGAGTGATCAATAAAACAGGCAATGGTCAGGGCAAGCAGTAACACACTCATGGAAAACCAGGTAAAGAATCCAAGGTCAAAAAACATGAAGGCAAGGCAAGGAAAGGAAAGGTAAGGAAACACAGGGAAACACCGAAACTAGAAATGGAAAGGAATGCAGTAACAAACATACAAACTATAGGCCTACTCAGCAAAGAGTATGAGCAAGTGTCCAACTTAAATAGTCCTCCTGATTGGAAATGGGGTGTGTCTGTAAATTAGTTCCTAGGCAGAGGGTTATGGGAAAATGGAGTCCAGGGTAGAGTGGCCTCTGGTGGAGCTCATGTGCACTCCAGCTAGATATTGTGACAGATTTCAGGGGGTAGCCAGCCGGTCGTAGGGATCCTCCACACTGGATGTCATTCTCGGATGCTTTGTGACAGTCTCTATGGCTTCGGCCGTGATAGCAAGTGGCTCTGGAGTGAGAACCGTGATGTGGCGATGCTCTGGTATGGCAGCCATTACGTGAACAGGTACGGTAGTATGGTGACACGTTCCTCCTCCACAAAACCCACAATGACAGATGAACCACTCAGAATTTAAAGCATAGTCCATGAAGTCCCGCAAACTACACTTAAACATTCCCTCAGGGAGCCATGATTTAATAGGTTCATTGAGTCCAAAATGGAAAAAGGCCTTTAGTGCACTTTCTTCGATTGTTACATGATAGCTACATAATAACTCACAAAACTGTTGTACATGATCCTCGATCGAAGTCTTCGATCCTCAAAGCCCCTCTGATGTAGACTTAAAATTTGGTCAGCCGGATCCATGGTAATCTGGATGACACTAGCTGATGGATCTGTAAATGGCTGAGTATTCTGTAATGAGGAGCGTGACAACGGGGTTGAGGATCCACTTGCAGGCTTTATTATATTCTTGGTAGTGTTGTCAAAAGTACAGCCCGCGATACCATTCGGTACTGAAAATTAGTGATGGGACGATTGATACCGAGGCTCCGAGGCTCCGATGCTTCAACGCAGTTTTCAAAGCACTACTGTATCACACAATGTGCCGATGCTTGTATCGAAATGACAATACCACGTGATTGATGATGTTTGATGCTTTGAACGTCATGCGGTATCGGAAGGTCGGGAGAGCTGGTTTGAAAAAATCTGCACTTCGCATGACTCTTGTTTGACTTTACATTGACTTGGTTGTGTGTGTGTGTACACTTATTTGGGATTCAGTAGAATAGTTTAGAATAACCTCAACACCAGATAGAAACTGAATGCACGTCACACCCCTATTGCATTTTATCATGTTTTATAGCTGGGGTCTCAGAGACCCCGAACAGCTCACCCAAAATATTTTTGCTACTACTATTAATAATAATCACACACTTGTATATTTTATATTATTGATCAATATGTGAATCCGTTGACCGGACAACGCATAACATGAGTTGGAACAGATTAAAAACTTTTTCAAACCATCCCTCTGCTCCACAATGTTTCGTTAGATTTGGTGGAGAAACCAAGTCTGACCACCAGATGTCGCTAATGCGCACTGTGTTAAAAGCTTCGAGTAATGAACCGTTTTTCGGCACAATTTCATGAAAGCCTCAAACGGTTCAGAAAGCCTCGGTTTCCCATCACTACTGAAAATTTAAAAACATCCATTCCCCGTGAAGATTTGAGCGCTGTTGAGCAGATTCTTAAACAGTGCTGATTGGTCATTGTGTTCTGATAGATGGATCAGCGCTCAAATCTTAGCGGGAAATGGACGTTTTTAAAATTTCAGTATTGAATGGTATCGCGGTCGGTACTTTTGACAACACTAATTCTTGGTTGTACAGGCAGGGTCAATCATCAGCAAACACAACAACATCCAAGGCGGGAAAAAGAGTACACCAGAAAATAAGAAATGATCAGGGCAGGCAGCAAAACAATAATGGAAATCCAGGTAAGTTAAAAACACCAAGGCAAGGCAAGGAAAGGAAAGGTGAAAAAATGGAATGCAGTAACAAATGTACAAACAATACTTAGCAAAGAGTATGAGCAAGTGTCCAACTTAAATAGTCCTCCTGATTGGAAACGGGGTGTGTCTGTAAATTGGTTCCTGGCAGAAGGTTATGGGAAATGGAGTACAGGGTAGAGTGGCAAGAGTCAGGGTTGAAGTGCCCTCCGGTGGAGCTTATGGGCACTCTAGCTGGAGATCATGACACTTTCACATCTCTTGTTTTTGCTTCTCATTAGAATAAGAATATTTTATTTACAGTTGAACAGTAACCATCGGCCTTTGAAAAGTTTTACCAGTGTCTATTACTGAATTTCTGAGTGGTACTAATATTTGTTTGTTTTCCTTTGTATTTTACCATTTCAGACTTTGTCTAACCTGTTTGTGTTTGTGTGTGCTGTCACTCATTCTCATCCTCATGATTTATCTCTTTGTCCTTCCCCAAACCAAGATTCACCTGCACCTCCCACTGATGCTACAGAACCTGTAGTATCAGCACAACTGAGGGAGTCAATCAGAGAGGTATTTTGTATATACAGTACCAATGCACAAGTTATAAGCCCATAACCCATAAAACATGAACCATATTCATATGTTGTAGTTCAGCCTCACAACAGTGATTGTATTCTGTCGGAATCCACTTTGATGTTTTTGACTTTTTTTGGCTCTATAGGTTACTTTTGACAATGATCCATTAAGTTATTATCATGCCAAGATGTTTTAAAATCACTACCATTATATTTTGCCATAGGTGACACCGACAATGTCCTGGAAAAGATTGTTTTCCAAGAGTCTGGAAATACCTGTGTGTCGAATTGAAGAGGAAACATTCCAGCTGGGTGAGTTTGAATGAACATTTGCGTTTCAGATTCATTAGTGATTTACCATTAGTGATCTCTGTCTCAACATCACACCATCTACTGTTAATTACCGGTTCTTCAGTTCTCTGATCCCCACTATAATTGCTTGAGGATGTTTTGCACATATTAAGCCAGGTTGATGACGAGTCTAGATTGCCAAAGAGCTTTTTCTCTTATTGCTAGTGTTTCAGTTTTTTTATGTGGTCATCTACGTTGACCCTAAAATGCTTATGGTTTTTGTTTGTTTTCTATCACATACAGACAGTTCTTCAGATGAGTCTGTATCTGTTGCTGAAAAAGTCAAAATGGTGAGATGTGCATGTATTGATCAATTGTAAATTATTATTGTATGTGTATTTGTCACACGGTCGTGGTTGTAGTAATTGCGCTCGACAAGGAGTAGAAGTAAAGGAGTCTTCAATTAGTATCAACACACAGAGACCATTTAAAATAACATTAATCCAGGATGACAAACAGACAGAAACTGCAGGTTTATAAAGACAGGGAAACAAAGGAGCAAACGAGATGATTAATCAACACAGGTGAGCAGAATGAGCGATGATTAACTAAATGAGAACAGGAAATGAGCCAAATAAGAACAGACAGGAACTAAACAGAAACCAACACGTGACAGTATTATCCTATTTTGTAGAGTTGAGTTTAGCATGTGCATGATGATGTATAACCATAAATGGAAATACATTTATATTATTATTATTGACAGGATGTCATAACAGCAGTAGACTCTGCTTAATATTCTATAGTTTCAAATAAGAATAAATTATAATAATTATTTATTAAATAATAATGTAAACGACAGCTTGACACTGGAGGAATTCTGCTCATATTCTGAGGGAGTCAGTATATAAAAATAAATGCATATGTACAATTACCCAAATAACTAACTTTATATTTCACCTTATCCCTCAGTTACTGAAATGTACCCAATTACTGTGCCCACATGTCTTCCATTAACATGAAGTTTTAATCTTATCCTTTCTTTATAGGTACAGAACAGGAGAGAATCTTTGATTTTAGCTGAAACTCCCAGTAAAAATATCACAGAACCAGTAGAATCTACTGCCAATGCTAGAGGTCAGTGAGCTCTTTTATTTTCTATATATTATGATGTTTAGTATAATTTTATTGTATTTCTTATTTTGAACTTTATGATTTTTAAAATTACATATTTTTATTAGACTATGAATACCTTTGGTTACTTTCACATCTCTTCTTTTTGCTTCTCATTAGAATAAGAATATTTATAGTTGAACAGTTTACTTTGTATAACTTGTTTGTGTTTGTGTGTGCTATAAACTACTCATGATTTATCTCTTTGTCCTTCCCCAAACCAAGATTCACCTGCACCTCCCACTGATGCTACAGAACCTGCATTATCTCCTGTCATAGATGAAGCCGATCAGACCACAGATGAAGCAGCAGGTGAAGCAGCAGCAGCTCAGCTGAACTGCAGTGATTCTCCCACTGATGCTACAGAACCTGCAGTATCTCCTATCCTAGAGGAGGCCAATCAGACCACAGATGAAGCAGCAGCAGCTCAGCTGAACTTCAGTGATTCTCCCACTGATGCTACAGAACCTGCAGTATCTCCTATCCTAGAGGAGGCCAATCAGACCACAGATGAAGCAGCAGCAGCTCAGCTGAACTTCAGTGATTCTCCCACTGATGCTACAGAACCTGCAGTATCTCCTATCCTAGAGGAGGCCAATCAGACCACAGATGAAGCAGCAGCAGCTCAGCTGAACTTCAGTGATTCTCCCACTGATGCTACAGAACCTGCAGTATCTCCTATCCTAGAGGAGGCCAATCAGACCACAGATGAAGCAGCAGCAGCTCAGCTGAACTTCAGTGATTCTCCCACTGATGCTACAGAACCTGCAGTATCTCCTATCATAGAGGAGGCCAATCAGACCACAGATGAAGCAGCAGCAGCAGCTCAGCTGAACTTCATTGATTCTCCCACTGATGCTACAGAACCTGCAGTATCTCCTTTTGTAGAGGAGGCCAGTCAGACCACAGATGAAGCAGCGGGTGAAGCAGCAGCAGCTCAGCTGAACTTCAGTGATTCTCCCACTGATGCTACAGAACCTGCAGTATCTCCTATCCTAGAGGAGGCCAATCAGACCACAGATGAAGCAGCAGCTCAGCTGAACTTCATTGATTCTCCCACTGATGCTACAGAACCTGCAGTATCTCCTTTTGTAGAGGAGGCCAGTCAGACCACAGATGAAGCAGCGGGTGAAGCAGCAGCAGCTCAGCTGAACTTCAGTGATTCTCCCACTGATGCTACAGAACCTGTAGTATCTCCTGTCATAGAGGAGGCCAGTCAGACCACAGATGAATCAGCAGCAGCAGCTCAGCTGAACTTCAGTGATTTTTCCACTGATGATACAGAACCTGCAGTATCTCCTATTGTAGAGGAGGCCAATCAGACCACAGATGAAGCAGCAGCAGCAGCTCAGCTGAACTTCAGTGATTCACCTGTTGAAAGGCAGAACCCTGATACTTCTGAAGAGACTGAGAAGACAGGCCAGATGCAGTTAATTAGATTTCTGGAAAAGCAGTTTAATACTATGAACAACACCCTAAAATCAATTGATTTTTCTTTAAAGAAGCTGGTGGGAAAACAGTCACAAGACACACTGCCTCAATATATCTGTCTAATTCCTGCTGATTTTGAAAATCTCCTGATTAATTCCTTAGTCAAGAAGGAGCCAATCACAGAAGGTGGGGGTAGTACTGAGGAAGCACAACTGTAATCTGAGAGGTTATCTATAAATAAATTATTATTATTATTATTATTAGATAATTATTATACAAGTTTGTTTTAATGTGTTTTTCATTGCCAAGACAATAAACACCTTTTTGATAATCGTTCACTGTTTTTGTCATATTAAAACAAAATATATTGCAGCATTTTGTTGTTTTAATCATTTGCTGTTCATTGTTCTGTTTTTTAAAATATACATATAAATAAATTGATACCTTTATGTAAGCATGTAGCAACTCATAATGTAATAACTACACATATTGTAAAAACTGCACATAATGTAATAAATATTTCATTATTATTGTAATAAAATGTTTATAATGTAATAATTTTCTCAAAACGTAATAAAATCTTGAGCTCATAATGTAATAATTTTTTAATGTAACAATTTTTCACATAATGTAATAGGTTATTGTATGAGAAATTTATTACATTATGAACACACTGTGACCAATTATAATGTAATCACAGTTCATAAGGTAATACCAGCATATAATTTAAAACAATGTTTACAATATAATAAATTTGAGCACAAAACGTGATAACAGTTTTATGTAAAATAAGAAAATTAGGCTTATTAGGCTACTTAGTGAACTTTTTTAATATAAAAAGCTGACAAATTTTGTGATTATGACGTGCTTCATTTATATATATATATATATATATATATATATATTGTAGCATTCCGCTACTAATGAAACCAGGCGTTCTCAGTCGCTCTGTAACTTTATTAAAGCACTGAAGAGGGTTACTGTTATGGCCATTACCCACGCCGTACACAGAAGGAAACAGAAGAAAAACAAGGAAGAATAGCACTCGCTGCTCTGTGCTCTCACTCTCCCAACTAACTCTGAACTCTCTCTAGCCCGTCCTCCACCCGCACCAGACTATCCCCGCCCCTTAAAGTGAACAGAGACTTACAGCTATAACCAGTTATTGCTAAAATGAACATTGCTAAACATCATGAAATTAACAAATGTCCTTCAACATTTATAGCAACATCACAACCCCCCCCCGCAAAAAAGAAAACCCCTCGTCCACGAGGGGGCAAACAAAGTCTTTAAGGTGCCCAGGCTGGCGCCTCTGCCTCTTTGGCCACACAACAGGCTGGGGATCTGGGCCCGTCAGGAAATGGGGGGTAGGGACATGGGACACAGGGTAAAGTCCACAAGAAGTGGCTGATTGTGGGGTGTTTGGGGAAAGGGGCTCCTGAACAACTGGAGTGTGTGGCTCGGGCCTAGGGTCATTGTCCATGTCATTTTGTGAGGCCAGGGGTTGGGCCCCCTCTTTTGAAAAAAAAATGGACAGGTTACCTCTGTACACGACAAGGCATCGGTATTGGTGTGGCTAGATCCAGCTCTGTGCACTACTGTAAAGTTGCAGGACTGTAGTTCTTCCAGCCACTGGGCCACTTGACCTTTAGGCTCCTTAAAGGACATCAACCATTGGAGCGCCGCATGGTCCGTCCTTATCGTGAATTGTGTGCCACACAGGTAGTATTTGAAGTGCCTCACTGCCATTACCACCACAAGGAGCTCACGTCTGGTGACACAATAGCACCTCTCACTCTTGTTAAAGACCCTGCTAAAGTATGCCACCACCCTTTCTCCATCAGGCTCTTCCTGCGATAACACCGCCCCCATGCCAACATTGCTTGCGTCCATGTCTAAAATAAAAGACAGTGCAGCGTCAGGTGGAACAAGGATCGGAGCCTCAATCAACGCCTGCCGAAGTGTATCAAATGCCTTCTGGCACTCATCAGTCCAGACAAAGGCATGGTCTTTTATTGCTGGAGGCGGAAGAGTGGCACCCCTATGCAAGAGAACCCCTTTACAAATCTCCTATAGTAAGAGGCTAGTCCCAGAAAACTTTTCAATTGTCTCAGGTCTGTAGGGGTTGGCCAATCTCTGATGGTGTTTATTTTCTCCTCCAGGGTGCCTATGCCTTCCCTTCCCAATTTGTGACCAAGGAATTTAACCTCCTGCCTCATAAGGTGGCACTTATCTGGATGCAGCTTCAGACCTGCTGCCGCTACTCTTACCAGCACCCGACGGAGGGATTCAAGTGCTTCATCGACATACTCCCCATGGACTAGAAGATCATCCAAATATACAAGACACTCACGGCGAGGGACTCCTTCCAACACCTTGTCCATGAGCCGTTCGAACGGGGCGGGAGCATTGCAGAGCCCAAACGGAAGGACCTTGAACTGCCAGAGGCCTTTATTTGTACGGAATGCGGTTTTGGGAGCAGACTCAGAAGACAATGGCACTTGCCAGTATCCGCTCCTCAAGTCAAGGGTGGAGAACCAGGATGAACCAGCCACCAAGTCAAGTGACTCATCTACTCTAGGTAGGGGATATGAATCTTTTTCCGTAACTTTGTTGAGCTGCCTATAATCTATGCAGAATCGCCATCTGGAACTATTTTTCCGCGGCACCATTACCACTGCTGAAGCCCACGGACTCTCTGACGGCTCAACAATACCCGCCTGTAGCATTTCCTCCAATTCCTTATCCGCAGCTTCCTGTCGGGCCAGAGGGAGACGACGAGGTCTTACTCTTATCGGGCGGGCATCTCCTGTGTCAATATCATGCTGCACTAAGTGAGTTAGGCCCACTTCATTCTCATTGAGAGGAAAAATGTCCTTGAAATCCTCCATGAGTTCCCACGAGCCCACTTTTTGTTGCTCACTTAAGCCATCACAGTTTTTTTGACCAAATGTCCCTCAAAGCTGAGATCCTAGTTTCTCTCTCGACATTGCACATTCCATCCTCTGAACAAGAGCCAGTGGGTGTTAACGGACCAAGGGAAAAGGGGGGTGTAATATCACAATCAGGACTGCGTTGTGTGTGGCAATTGGAACTAACGGGCAGGGCTTCTAATGTGTGAGACGGTGGCTCGCACACTGTTTTTTCCACAGCAAGGGCATGTTTAGATGTGTCTGTCAAATACACAGGTAGGGACACTGGGGTCAGGTTTGGAGCAGGATGAGTCAGTTGCACAGAACTTCCATCAGGGAGGGTAAGTGAGTCTCTACATAGGTCCAACACACAACCAACGGCCCTTAAAAAATCTAGCACCAGGATGCATGGGTCCTGCACTTCGGCCACCCACGCATGGAACGACACAGACAGACCTCCTATGTCAAACAGGAAGAGCCCTTTTCCTTTTATTGGTGCAAAGTCACCAGTCACAGTTTTCAGACGAGCGGATGTTGGCTCCAAAGCTGTCCCCACTGGAACTAGATCAGGCCGAACCAGGGTTGCATTTGAGCCGGTGTCAACAAGGGCCGTGCAAGCGACTCCCGCTACTAGAATGGGAATGTGGCAGAAATTTCCCACATAAGACCAGCCCACTATCATAACAGTCTCTACAGGGCGTGGTCCAACCCCGTTCTCCACAACCTCAGCCAGGGGTGACTTATGGGAAATGTTATCACGGGCCCGTGTCCCCCCATCTACACGGGCCCCTGGCCGTTTCCCTGCGTTTGACTGAACCTGGGGCACTGTCTGATCAGATGGCCTGGCTGGCCACAGCCTCAGCAAACTGAAGGTCGGCGGCGTGGGCGGGGCTCTGAGGCGGAGCGGCTCGAGCGCAGCGTCAAAGCATTTGTAGAATTATCCATCCATGCAGGTGCCCTTGAGCCATTTCCACAGCTCTCACTATTGGCATCATTACATCAGCATCCATTTGGATAAATCTGTCTCTAGCGAGTTCGTTCTGGACTGATGGTGGCATTTCAGCATAGGCACGTTTACATAAACATTCAATGTCATTAGCTAAAACGTGGAGGGGGTCACCTTGTCGTCTGCGTCTGTTATTAAATTCTGTCCTTAAAAGGACAGGCTGGCTACATTGTCCAAATCATCTGTGAAGAGCCCCAACCAATGAATTATAATCATTCCTTTCAGCAGGACTCAATAATAGGAGACAGGCAGCCGCATCATCAGTGAGGGACAGCGCTAACTGCAGAGCTTTATGATTTTCAGACCAGCCTGCAGCATCAGCTAACAGTTCAAATTGGGCTTTGAATGCATTCCAATCCGTCTTACCGGAGAACCGTGGTGTTTTTATAGCGTGCATGTCACATGTCACAGTGAATTCGCTACGGACCTGGGAGCCGCCATGATTGTTTACATTCTGTGCCTTCACGTCATCGCGAGAGTGCGTCGTGCCGGCCCGCGCTTGCGCAGTCATGTCGCCGTCATTATGTTGATTTACAAACAAAAAAAGGGAAGGGAGGTGCGAAGCCAGCTTCAGCAGCTTGTAGCATGAAAGTGTCTCTCATTCTGGCCGCTTCTCTCTGAGCCCAGTGTGGATCCGCCGCCGGCCTGTGTGTCCACAAACACTCGCCTTTCTCTCTTACAATCTCCTCCGGCGTGGGTGAATCCATCTCGTGGGTGAATGCTCAGATCTCGCATCAAGTCTGTCACTTCTGACACCAAATGTCGTGTTCCGCTACTAATGAAACCAGGCGTTCTCAGTCGCTCTGTAACTTTATTAAAGGTCCCATATTGTCAAAACTGAAATTTCCTGGCTTTTTTCATGATAACTGAGGTTTAGGTGCTATGTATTTACTGCATTCGGTGTTTGAAAAAAAATAACATGAATTACCATTCTGAAACATCCTGTTGTAAGCGCGTTTGAGGAGGTGGTTGGTTGTCTCCTGTCGTCGCCGATTCGGGGTCTGAGTTCGGCTCAAACATGTAAGGCTGGACATTATTTCCCTCAGCAAGAGCCGTTTCTTAACGGCTCTGGCCTGGCTGTGCATCACTCAGAAAACAACAGACCAATCAGAAGAGAGGCTAATGAATATTAATTAGACAGGCCAAAATCGACCTGTTCTTTGCAGACCTCCTGAGAGAGGAGCTGTAAAAATATATTGAGATGGTTTTTGGTACTTATACCACAAATATATATTCTTAAGGACATCAAGACTTAAAATAAAACTCCAGAAAGGTGTAAAATATGTGACCTTTAAAGCACTGAAGAGGGTTACTGT